CGGAGCTGGCAGCAGGTGATGCAAAGCGGCTGGGCGGGCCGGAGATGAAGAAGCCCTGTATAGTTTTGAGAATTGCACGCGTAGTCCTTAGCTGACCCTGAACCCCAAAGCCAGAAACAAAACCCTAAGCCCTAAGCCCTAAACCCAGAAATAATCTGAAAACATCCTAACAACCCAGCACAACAACCCTCAACCCTTAGGCCAAAACCCTCCACCCCTCCACTTGGAGGCCCCCTCCACCCCTCCACTTGGAGGTTCATGGTACTTATTAACCAATTCTGACTGTACATATAAAGTTTAAGCCCTAGTATGGTTATAAGCACAGTAATAAGTACAGATATACTTGGTTCGTCAGTGCCATGAACCTCCAAGCAGCCCTGCCCCCAAGCGCCCCGGCAAGCGTCCGCCACACGGCCGCTGCGGCGGCCGAGGACGCTTCGGACACCGTTGCTCGCACCTGAGAGGTTTAGGGTTTAGGGCTTAAAGGGGCTATAGCCTATAAGAACGGTCTTCAAGTAATAGGGTTTAGGGGTTTAAGGGTTTCGGGGTTTAGGGGTTTAGGGGTTTAGGGGTTTAGGGTTTAGGGTTTAGGGTTTAGGGTTTAGGGTTTAGGGTTTAGGGTTTAGGGTTTAGGGTTTAGGGTTTAGGGTTTAGAGTTTAGCGTTTAGGGTTTAGGAATAACTAGAAAAATACTAGGTTTGGGCTTCCCAAGATAAAGATTCAGCGTCTGGGGGCTTGGAGTTTAGGCAAGAGGCACTGCAGACGAATAGGTGCACGCAATGCCCAGAGATAGCATAAGCATGGAAGCGCAATGGCCCAAGAGTGCTTGTAATTTTGGCTGAACCTCTGTACATGACTCACTGCGACAGATCATAAGGCTGCGCTCACTTGTGGCTAGGGTTGGCTGGCCACGGACTCGTCCGTCTCACCATTTGGGATCCACTTCCAGGCGGGCCTGTCAGGGCGCCAAAGGGAGGGACTGCACGTGGCAGCGCAAAATATGCACAAAATCGACACCGTCGCCGCCACTTAGTAGCGGTACGTGTCTGGCTTGAAAGGCCCCTCAACCGGCACGCCGATGTAGTCGGCCTGCTCTTTGCTCAGCTTGGTCATGCTGGCGCCCAGCGCTGGGAGGTGGAGTGCGGCCACCTTCTCATCCAGCTTCTTGGGCAGCAGGTACACATCGTTCTTGTACTTCTTGGCCTTGGTGCAGTTCTCCAGGATGTCCAGCTGAGCCAGCACCTGGTTGGTGAAGGAGCAGGACATCACGAAGGAGGGATGGCCTGTGGCGCAGCCCAGGTTCACCAGGCGGCCGGAGGCCAGCACGATGACGCCGTGGCCATCCGGGAACACGAAGCGGTCGACCTGCGGCTTGATGTTCTCCACCTTGATGCCGGCGCACTTCTCGAGGTCCTCCATGGCGATCTCGTTGTCGAAGTGGCCAATGTTGCACACGATGGCGTTGTTCTTCATCTTCTTCATGTGATCAAGGGTGATGATCTTGAAGTTGCCCGTGGCGGATGTGAAGATGTCCACCTCCCCGACGACCTCCTCGAGGGTCACGACCTGGAAGCCCTCCATGCATGCCTGCAGGGCGCAGATGGGGTCGATCTCCGTGATCAGCACTCGGGCACCGGCACCGCGCATGGCGAAGGCGCAGCCCTTGCCGACATCGCCGTAGCCAGCAACCAGCGCGCGCTTGCCGCCGATCATCACGTCCGTGGCACGCATGATGCTGTCCGGCAGGGAGTGGCGGCAGCCGTAGACGTTGTCGAACTTGGACTTGGTCACGCAGTCGTTGACGTTGATGGCCGGGAACAGGAGCTCGCCCTTGGCCGCCATCTCTCGCAGGCGGTGCACGCCAGTAGTTGTCTCCTCGCTGACGCCCTTGCACTTGGCCGCCATGCGGGTGTACTTGGTCTTGTCCACCTGGATCGAATCCCTGAGCAGCTGCAGGATGCACTTGAACTCGGCATTGGTGGTGCTGGAGGGGTCCGGCAGGCTGCCGTCCTTGGCGAACTTCTCCTCGAACTCCTTGCCCTTGTGGATGAGCAGAGTGGCGTCTCCGCCGTCGTCCACCAGCTGGTCGCAGCCATCGGCTCCTGGCACGGTCATCATCTGCTCGGTGCACCACCAGTACTCCGGAAGAGTCTCACCCTTCCACGCGAAGACCGTGGCGGTGCCCGCCTTGGCGATGCCGGCCGCAGCGTGGTCCTGGGTGCTGAAGATGTTGCACGAGCACCAGCGCACCTTGGCACCCAGGGCGGACAGCGTCTCGATCAGCACGCCTGTCTGGATGGTCATGTGCAGGGAGCCGTTGATGTTCATGCCCTTGAATGGCTGCGAGGGGCCGAACTCCTTGCGCGCGGCCATGAGGCCAGGCATCTCGTGCTCTGCCAGCGTCAGCTCCTTGCGGCCGAACTCGGCCAGACCCATGTCCTTCACCTTGGAGTCGGCCATGCTTCCGAAGGGCCGCGCACGAGAACAAAACGGGGACCGGAGAAGGGAGCGTGCCTTTCGAAGCTGGGAATCGGCAACGTCAGTCGACAAATGATGACACCTGACACTTTGCGTAGCTTTTAATAAGATAAGACATCACACAAAAAATGCTCATTGTAAAGGTAGAATATCATTGTCATTGTTTAAATACTGTAAACAAAATCATTGAAAAAGTTCTTCTTTTCTTGCGGTTCATCGCTTTCATTGTTTCTTCATTCTGTCTAGCACATAAGAATGATACCTGTTTCAGAGAATGAGGGAAGAACCCAAGTACTCCAACATACCCCAAGCCATGCTGGTGATGATACCTATCAGGGTCAAAATCTGTCGAAGCAAAAAGCGCTGTCGAAGAATGAGAATGCCCACAACACTGGCTTTTCTGGCTGAACCTCTATACATGACTCACTGCGACAGATCACAATGCTGCGGTCACTTGTGGCTAGGGTTGGCTGGCCACGGACTCGTCCGTCTCACCATTTGGGATCCACTTCCAGGCGGGCCTGTCAGGGCGCCAAAGGGAGGGACTGCACGTGGCAGCGCAAAATATGCACAAAATCGGCAACGTCGCCGCCACTTAGTAGCGGTACGTGTCTGGCTTGAAAGGCCCCTCAACCGGCACGCCGATGTAGTCGGCCTGCTCTTTGCTCAGCTTGGTCATGCTGGCGCCCAGCGCTGGGAGGTGGAGTGCGGCCACCTTCTCATCCAGCTTCTTGGGCAGCAGGTACACGTCGTTCTTGTACTTCTTGGCCTTGGTGCAGTTCTCCAGGATGTCCAGCTGAGCCAGCACCTGGTTGGTGAAGGAGCAGGACATCACGAAGGAGGGATGCCCCGTGGCGCAGCCCAGGTTCACCAGGCGGCCGGAGGCCAGCACGATGACGCCGTGGCCATCAGGGAACACGAAGCGGTCGACCTGCGGCTTGATGTTCTCCACCTTGATGCCGGCGCACTTCTCGAGGTCCTCCATGGCGATCTCGTTGTCGAAGTGGCCAATGTTGCACACGATGGCGTTGTTCTTCATCTTCTTCATGTGATCAAGGGTGATGATCTTGAAGTTGCCCGTGGCGGATGTGAAGATGTCCACCTCGCCGACGACCTCCTCGAGGGTCACCACCTGGAAGCCCTCCATGCACGCCTGCAGGGCGCAGATGGGGTCGATCTCCGTGATCAGCACTCGGGCACCGGCACCGCGCATGGCGAAGGCGCAGCCCTTGCCGACATCGCCGTAGCCAGCGACCAGCGCGCGCTTGCCGCCGATCATCACGTCCGTGGCACGCATGATGCTGTCCGGCAGGGAGTGGCGGCAGCCGTAGACGTTGTCGAACTTGGACTTGGTCACGCAGTCGTTGACGTTGATGGCCGGGAACAGGAGCTCGCCCTTGGCCGCCATCTCTCGCAGGCGGTGCACGCCAGTAGTTGTCTCCTCGCTGACGCCCTTGCACTTGGCCGCCATGCGGGTGTACTTGGTCTTGTCCACCTGGATCGAATCCCTGAGCAGCTGCAGGATGCACTTGAACTCGGCATTGGTGGTGCTGGAGGGGTCCGGCAGGCTGCCGTCCTTGGCGAACTTCTCCTCGAACTCCTTGCCCTTGTGGATGAGCAGAGTGGCGTCTCCGCCGTCGTCCACCAGCTGGTCGCAGCCATCGGCTCCGGGCACGGTCATCATCTGCTCCGTGCACCACCAGTACTCGGGAAGAGTCTCACCCTTCCACGCGAAGACCGTGGCGGTGCCCGCCTTAGCGATGCCGGCTGCCGCGTGGTCCTGAGTGCTGAAGATGTTGCACGAGCACCAGCGCACTTTCGCACCCAGGGCAGACAGCGTCTCGATCAGCACGCCTGTCTGAATGGTCATGTGCAGGGAGCCGTTGATGTTCATGCCCTTGAATGGCTGCGAGGGGCCGAACTCCTTGCGCGCGGCCATGAGGCCAGGCATCTCGTGCTCTGCCAGCGTCAGCTCCTTGCGGCCGAACTCGGCCAGACCCATGTCCTTCACCTTGGAGTCGGCCATGCTTCCAAAGGGCCGCGCACGAGAACAAAACGGGACCGGAGAAGGGAGCGTGCCTTTCGAAGCTGGGAATCGGCAACGTCGGACGACACCCGAACCCAAGTGCCCCAAACCGTGCGGGCGACAACAAGCCCAAACATGCCCAAACAAGCTAGAAAGCCCCTCAATACCTGAACCCTAAGCCCTAGACTTTAGACCCCACTCTCCACCACTGACAGCAAGTTATTCAATGTCTCTCTGCATACCTAAACCCTCCGAGCCCTACCCTATATCCTCAACCCTAAACCCTAAACCCCAAGTAAGCTTCAGGCATACTTCCCCACTCCTGACAGCAAGTCTTCCATCTCTCTCTTGCCCTCGTGCAGACGCCTTCACTGCGGAGCCCTTGCTTCAAGGAGCAAGCACACAACAGGGTTTAGGGTTTAGGGTTTAGGGTTTAGGGTTTAGGGTTTAGGGTTTAGGGTTTAGGGTTTAGGGTTTAGGGTTTAGGGTTTAGGGTTTAGGGTTGCAAGGCGGTTGAGCCACGACTGTCGGCCACCTCCGTGTTCGCGCCAGCTTGCAAGAGCAATCGCACGATCTCAACATTTCCATGGCCGGATGCACGAAGCAGAGCTGTTTGGCCGCAACTGCCCTGCAGGTCCAGATTCGCACGAGCCTCCACAAGCAAGCGAGCGACTTGCGCATGCCCCTTATCACAGCTATGAACAAGAGGCGTTCCGCCGGAGTTCCGTACGTTCATATCAGCCCTCGCCCCCAAAAGCAACCCCACCAGCTCCGCGTGACCCTTGTGAGCTGCACAGAGTAGAGCCGTCTCGCCAACAGAAGTCTTCACGTCTGCGTCTGCACGGGCGTCTAGGAGTAAAGCTACAATCTCAGGAAGGCGCCGATTTGATGCACGGAAGAGGGCCGTTTGCCCCACCTTGTTCTGCAAGTTCCTGTCAGCACCAGCTTCTAGCAACAGACGCACTTTCGCAACACAGCCGCGCTCGGAAGCCAAAAACAGAGCTGTGTTGCCGGCAGTATCCTGCAAGTCCGGGTTCGCACCGGCTTTCAAAAGCAAGTGCGTAATATGCTGGCTGCGAGAAACCTTCCGAGAAACACAAGCGGACATTAGGGCTGTTCGACCATCCTCGTTCGTGAGATCTGTGGCCGCACCAGCTTCCAACAGCAGGCGCACGACATCAACACAGCCTTTCTCGGATGCGCAAACCAGCGGCGGCCTCCCTTGAACGCCTCCCTTTGCGTTCTTGTCCGCACCAGCTTCCAGCAGCAGGCCTACCACCTCGGCGTGACCACTCTGGCAGGCAACGACGAGCGGCGTGTTGATGCACAAGGTCGTGGCGCCGCACACGGTCGCTACGTCTGTTGAGGCTGCCTGCGGCTGAGCGCGGGCCACCAGAAGCAGTCGGACGATAGCTGCGTTGCCTGACTCAGCTGCGATGGTCAAGGGTGTGCGCCCGCTGCTCACGTTTGGCACGGCCCGGCTTTGCAGCAAGAAGTCCACAATCGCCACGCGGCTGTGTGTACCTCGGTAGCGCAGTACACATACTGGAATTTGGGGGGTTGGCTACGCTGTAAGGGAACCTTCAGGCAAAAAAATGAGGAGCTACCCTAAACCCCTACACTCCAAGCCCTTAACCCTAAACCCTAAACCCTAAACCCTGAACCGTCAACCCTAAGCCCTAAGCCCTAAACCCTAAGCCCTAAGCCCTAAACCCTAAACCCTAAGCCCTAAGCCCTAAGCCCGAAGCCCTAAACCCTAAGCCCTAAACCCTAAACCCTAAGCCCTAAACCCCAAACCCGAAACCCCAAACCCTAAACCCCAAACCCTAAACCCTAAACCCTAAACCCTAAACCCTAAGCAAAATCAAGTTACACGCATGTTGCAAAGGGCCTTGGCCAAAACTGTCTCGTGAGTTCGGATCGGCACGCGCTTGCACCAGCAACTGGACCAACTCGAGGTGGCCCTTGGCCTGGGATGGCCTTAGGGTTCAGGGTTCAGGGTTTAGGGTTTACGGTTGAGGGTTTGGGTTTTGGGATTTGGGGTTTGGGGTTTTGGGGTTGGGGTTTGGGGTTTGGGGTTTAGGGTTTAGGGTTTAGGGTTCTCCTGGGCCTAGGATAGCCCCACTTAACACCCTCTGACAAGAATACTCCCAAGTATGACCCTCTGAGAACCCAAGAAGGGGTTAGGGTTTAGGGTTTAGGGTTTGGGGTTTAGGGTTTAGGGTTTAGGGTTTGGGGTTTGGGGTGCGGGGATAAGGGTATAGATTTTAGGGGAAACTACGTCATCTACCAAGGGGGGCCGACCAAGTGGCAGATGCTCGTAGAAGAGGTGTCTGGCCGGGGACCCACACTTTCCTCTCTGCACCGGTTGCATACACGCTCCTCTCTGCACCGGCCTCTACGAGATATTGAGGCATGTCGACATGGCCCGGGCGTCCGTTGCTCCACAAAGCCTCGCGGTTGAGGGTTTAGGGGTTAGGGTTTACGTTTAGGGGCCTGCTGCCCCAAAATAGATCCTGCAACAACACTGGACCCTTATCCCTTAAGCCCGAACCCGCCCGCAAAGCCGCAGAGTAGAATCCGAAGCTATGCGGATCTAGCGAGCTTTTGGGCCCTAGACCATATAAGTCATAATTGAAGCCCTTGCACAAACTACATAAAGCCCTAAGCCCTAGAAAGCCTGAGCCCTCCTAAGCCCTAAACCCTAAACCCTAAACCCTAAACCCTCAACCCTGAACCCTCAACCCTGAACCCTCAACCCTAAACCCCGCAAAGCCTCGGAGTGCTTGAGAGCGCCCAGTTCCAGCAGCATCTCAGCCATGGCGACGTGACCTCCATCGGCCGCAAGCAGCAAAGCGGTGAGGACGTATCGGTCCCGGAAGCTCTGCTCCTGGGTTTAGGCTTCAGGGTTTAGGGTTTAGGGTTTAGGGTTTAGGGTGTAGGGTTTAGGGTGTAAGGTTTAGGGTTAGGGTTTAGGGTTAGGGTTTAGGGTTTAGGGTTTAGGGTTTAGGGTTTAGGGTTTAGGGTTTAGGGTTTAGGGTTTAGGGTTTAGGGTTTAGGGTACAGGGTACGCTCTACCAATAGTACTTCATTCATGTTCCCATGTGCGGAGGGCCTGTTTTTACTACTTGTATATATATATATATATACATATGTATGTAATTGGGGGGGTTACGCAAATGAGGGACCCTTAGAAACGGCCCCCAAATACTAGGATTTCTTACACACAAGGACCCCAATAAGGCACGCCTTATTCCGGAAACCCCCATTTAGAGTGAGAGAGAGAGAGATAGATATGGATATATATATATATATATGTGCATATACATTTACATCTACATATACATATACATATACATATATATATATATGTGTATGTATCCCGAGTATGGTAACCCTAGACTCTAAACCCTAAACCCTAAACCCTCAACCCTAAACCCTAAACCCTAAACCCTAAACCCTAAACTGACTAAGCTAGAGCCAGGGATCAGATGCCTCTAGCAGCAAGCGCGCGATCTCAACGTGTCCTGCCTTGGGCTGCAGAGGCCTAAACCCTAAACCCTAACCCTACACCCGAAAGCCTCAACCCTTGCCTGGGCCGCGTAGGTGAGCTCACGAGCAGCTCCGGTTTCATCCAAGCTGGGACGCAGAACCAGCCTCGGCGCTTGTTAAGTTAAGGAGCTCATTCAGGGTTTAGGCTTGGGGCTCGGGGTTTCTCAACCCGAGTACATAGAATAAGCTGTATGCTTTTCCTTGCTATGGAACCCTAAACCCTAAACCCTAAACCCGAAACCCTAAACCCTAAACCCTACACCCTAAACCCTACACCCTAAACCCTAAACCTATGGGAACTTGAAGTCCTTCAAGCCCAGTAGCTGTAGATCAAGGTCATCAGAGTTGGCGAAGACGCCATCATCCAGCAAGACTTGACCATCTTTCAGCAGCTGTTGAAGGCATACCTAGGATGGGTTTAGGGTTTAGGGTTTAGGGTTTAGGGTTTAGGGTTTAGGGTTTAGGGTTTAGGGTTTAGGGTTGAGGGTTGAGGGTTGAGGGTTGAGGGTTGAGGGTTGAGGGTGCCAAGGCAGCCAGCTCAACTCCGGCCATCTTCCAGATCCGCAGCATGGCAGACCCTAAACCCTAAACCCTAAACCCTAAACCCTAAACACCCTACACCCTAAACCCTAAACCCTAAACCCTAAACCCTAAACCCTAAACCCTAAACCCTGAACCCTGAACCCTGAGCCCTGAACCCTAAACCCTAGCAGCTTCTGCAGACCTGCTTGCGCGAGTCGACTGGGATACATAGAGGTGGATGATAGACAGATATACAGCCTGAAACCTATACTCCTATGACAACGCAGACTCCCAGACTGCGAAGTTCCAAAAGGTCTTTAAAGGCTTCGGGGGTTTGGGCTTAGGGTTGATTGAGGGTTCCTTTTCAGGGCTCCTGGGCGGGGTCTTAGCAGGGCTTTCTCAGGGATTCTATGGGGGGGGGGCTAGGGCTTTAATGTAGCAAACCCTCTTTCTTTCGAGGCCTCTCAAAAGTAGGATCCCTAAAAAACTCATTGACGGAGGATATATCAATCGGACAAAGCCGCGGATGTCTTACTGATGTGGGTTGGGCCTTCAGAGATTGGATCCTAATCCCTAAACCCTAAACCCTAAACCCTAAACCCTGCCAACCTCAACACCTTGGGATCTTCGAACGCTGCGCTCGGCGTGCGATCCTGGAAACCCTCGATGCTGTACCGTTCGGGGTTTAGGGTTTAGGGTTTGGGTTTAGGGTTTAGGGTTTAGGGTTTAGGGTTTAGGGTTTAGGGTTTAGGGTTTAGGGTTTAGGGTTTAGGGTTTAGGGTTTAGGGTTTAGAATTTAGGGTTTAGGGTTTAGGGTTTAGGGTTTAGGGTTTACGGTTTAGGGTTTAGGGTTCAGGGTTCAGGGTTCAGGGTTTAGGGTTTAAGGTTTAGGGTTTATTGTACTGTACGACCCGAAATAATTTAACACCAAAATCATCTTCAGGTCTATTTGAGGTGTGCTACGAGGACTCTCGGTAACTATAGCGTTTAGGTGGTTTAAGGTTTAGGGTTTAGGGTATTTCGGGTTTCGGGTTTAGGGTTTAGGGTTTAGGGTTTTAGGGTTTAGGGTTTAGGGTTTAGGGTTTAGGGTTTAGGGTTTAGGGTTTAGGGTTTAGGGTTTAGGGTTTAGGGTTTAGGGTTTAGGGTTTAGGGTTTAGGGTTTAGGGTTTAGGGTTTAGGGTTTAGGGTTCAGGGGTCAGGGTTTAGGGTTTAGGGTTTAGGGTTTAGGGTTTAGGGTTTAGGGTTTAGGGTTTAGGGTTTAGGGTTTAGGGTTTAGGGTTTAGGGTTTAGGGCTTCCAAAGGGCTGCGCACAACAACAACAACAACACGCGACCGGAAGGGAGCGTGCCTTTCGAAAGCTGGGAATCGGCACTCGGCACAGTCAAACGACACCTGAACACAAGTACCCCAAACCCTGAAACAAATGTGGATGGGAGTGCCCACGACACTGGCTTTTCTGGCTGAACCTCTATACATGACTCACTGCGACAGATCACAATGCTGCGCTCACTTGTGGCTAGGGTTGGCTGGCCACGGACTCGTCCGTCTCACCATTTGGGATCCACTTCCAGGCGGGCCTGTCAGGGCGCCAAAGGGAGGGACTGCACGTGGCACCGCAAAATATGCACAAAATCGGCAACGTCGCCGCCACTTAGTAGCGGTACGTGTCTGGCTTGAAAGGCCCCTCAACCGGCACGCCGATGTAGTCGGCCTGCTCTTTGCTCAGCTTGGTCATGCTGGCGCCCAGCGCTGGGAGGTGGAGTGCGGCCACCTTCTCATCCAGCTTCTTGGGCAGCAGGTACACGTCGTTCTTGTACTTCTTGGCCTTGGTGCAGTTCTCCAGGATGTCCAGCTGAGCCAGCACCTGGTTGGTGAAGGAGCAGGACATCACGAAGGAGGGATGGCCCGTGGCGCAGCCCAGGTTCACCAGGCGGCCGGAGGCCAGCACGATGACGCCGTGGCCATCCGGGAACACGAAGCGGTCGACCTGCGGCTTGATGTTCTCCACCTTGATGCCAGCGCACTTCTCGAGGTCCTCCATGGCGATCTCGTTGTCGAAGTGGCCAATGTTGCACACGATGGCGTTGTTCTTCATCTTCTTCATGTGATCAAGGGTGATGATCTTGAAGTTGCCCGTGGCGGATGTGAAGATGTCCACCTCACCAACGACCTCCTCGAGGGTCACGACCTGGAAGCCCTCCATGCACGCCTGCAGGGCGCAGATGGGGTCGATCTCCGTGATCAGCACTCGAGCACCGGCACCGCGCATGGCGAAGGCGCAGCCCTTGCCGACATCGCCGTAGCCAGCGACCAGCGCGCGCTTGCCGCCGATCATCACGTCCGTGGCACGCATGATGCTGTCCGGCAGGGAGTGGCGGCAGCCGTAGACGTTGTCGAACTTGGACTTGGTCACGCAGTCGTTGACGTTGATGGCCGGGAACAGGAGCTCGCCCTTGGCCGCCATCTCTCGCAGGCGATGCACGCCAGTAGTTGTCTCCTCGCTGACGCCCTTGCACTTGGCCGCCATGCGGGTGTACTTGGTCTTGTCCACCTGGATCGAATCCCTGAGCAGCTGCAGGATGCACTTGAACTCGGCATTGGTGGTGCTGGAGGGGTCCGGCAGGCTGCCGTCCTTGGCGAACTTCTCCTCGAACTCCTTGCCCTTGTGGATGAGCAGAGTGGCGTCTCCGCCGTCGTCCACCAGCTGGTCGCAGCCATCGGCTCCTGGCACGGTCATCATCTGCTCGGTGCACCACCAGTACTCCGGAAGAGTCTCACCCTTCCACGCGAAGACCGTGGCGGTGCCCGCCTTGGCGATGCCGGCCGCAGCGTGGTCCTGGGTGCTGAAGATGTTGCACGAGCACCAGCGCACCTTGGCACCCAGGGCGGACAGCGTCTCGATCAGCACGCCTGTCTGGATGGTCATGTGCAGGGAGCCGTTGATGTTCATGCCCTTGAATGGCTGCGAGGGGCCGAACTCCTTGCGCGCGGCCATGAGGCCAGGCATCTCGTGCTCTGCCAGCGTCAGCTCCTTGCGGCCGAACTCGGCCAGACCCATGTCCTTCACCTTGGAGTCGGCCATGCTTCCGAAGCGCGCACGAGAACAAAACGGGGACCGGAGAAGGGAGCGTGCCTTTCGAAGCTGGGAATCGGCAACGTCAGTCGACAAATGATGACACCTGACACTTTGCGTAGCTTTTAATAAGATAAGACATCACACAAAAGATGTTCATTGTAAAGGTAGAATATCATTGTCATTGTTTAAATGCTGTAAACAAAATCATTGAAAAAGTTCTTCTTTTCTTGCGGTTCATCGCTTTCATTGTTTCTTCATTCTGTCTAGCACATAAGAATGATACCTGTTTCAGAGAATGAGGGAAGAACCCAAGTACTCCAACATAGCCCAAGCCATGCTGGTGATGATACCTATCAGGGTCAAAATCCGTCGAAACAAAAAGCGCTGCCGAAGCATGAGAATGCCCACAACACTGGCTTTTCTGGCTGAACCTCTATACATGACTCACTGCGACAGATCACAATGCTGCGTGGCTAGGGTTGGCTGGCCACGGACTCGTCCGTCTCACCATTTGGGATCCACTTCCAGGCGGGCCTGTCAGGGCGCCAAAGGGAGGGACTGCACGTGGCACCGCAAAATATGCACAAAATCGGCAACGTCGCCGCCACTTAGTAGCGGTACGTGTCTGGCTTGAAAGGCCCCTCAACCGGCACGCCGATGTAGTCGGCCTGCTCTTTGCTCAGCTTGGTCATGCTGGCGCCCAGCGCTGGGAGGTGGAGTGCGGCCACCTTCTCATCCAGCTTCTTGGGCAGCAGGTACACGTCGTTCTTGTACTTCTTGGCCTTGGTGCAGTTCTCCAGGATGTCCAGCTGAGCCAGCACCTGGTTGGTGAAGGAGCAGGACATCACGAAGGAGGGATGGCCCGTGGCGCAGCCCAGGTTCACCAGGCGGCCGGAGGCCAGCACGATGACGCCGTGGCCATCCGGGAACACGAAGCGGTCGACCTGCGGCTTGATGTTCTCCACCTTGATGCCAGCGCACTTCTCGAGGTCCTCCATGGCGATCTCGTTGTCGAAGTGGCCAATGTTGCACACGATGGCGTTGTTCTTCATCTTCTTCATGTGATCAAGGGTGATGATCTTGAAGTTGCCCGTGGCGGATGTGAAGATGTCCACCTCACCGACGACCTCCTCGAGGGTCACGACCTGGAAGCCCTCCATGCACGCCTGCAGGGCGCAGATGGGGTCGATCTCCGTGATCAGCACTCGGGCACCGGCACCGCGCATGGCGAAGGCGCAGCCCTTGCCGACATCGCCGTAGCCAGCGACCAGCGCGCGCTTGCCGCCGATCATCACGTCCGTGGCACGCATGATGCTGTCCGGCAGGGAGTGGCGGCAGCCGTAGACGTTGTCGAACTTGGACTTGGTCACGCAGTCGTTGACGTTGATGGCCGGGAACAGGAGCTCGCCCTTGGCCGCCATCTCTCGCAGGCGATGCACGCCAGTAGTTGTCTCCTCGCTGACGCCCTTGCACTTGGCCGCCATGCGGGTGTACTTGGTCTTGTCCACCTGGATCGAATCCCTGAGCAGCTGCAGGATGCACTTGAACTCGGCATTGGTGGTGCTGGAGGGGTCCGGCAGGCTGCCGTCCTTGGCGAACTTCTCCTCGAACTCCTTGCCCTTGTGGATGAGCAGAGTGGCGTCACCGCCGTCGTCCACCAGCTGGTCGCAGCCATCGGCTCCTGGCACGGTCATCATCTGCTCCGTGCACCACCAGTACTCGGGAAGAGTCTCACCCTTCCACGCGAAGACCGTGGCGGTGCCCGCCTTGGCGATGCCGGCCGCAGCGTGGTCCTGGGTGCTGAAGATGTTGCACGAGCACCAGCGCACCTTGGCACCCAGGGCGGACAGCGTCTCGATCAGCACGCCTGTCTGGATGGTCATGTGCAGGGAGCCGTTGATGTTCATGCCCTTGAATGGCTGCGAGGGCCCGAACTCCTTGCGCGCGGCCATGAGGCCAGGCATCTCGTGCTCTGCCAGCGTCAGCTCCTTGCGGCCGAACTCGGCCAGACCCATGTCCTTCACCTTGGAGTCGGCCATGCTTCCAAAGGGCCGCGCACGAGAACAAAACGGGGACCGGAGAAGGGAGCGTGCCTTTCGAAGCTGGCGGAGTCGGCAGAGACGGGGTGAAAGTCTTAGGGTTGCGAGGGCAGGGGTTTGGGTTAGGGGTTTTGGGATGTTTTGGGGTATAGGGGTTTAGATACGGTTTTGTATTTGCTTTAGTTGAAGGCTTTAGGGCTTCGGGCACCGTGCCGGAACTTAAAACAGAAAGAAGCAGCCCGGAGGCATCAAGCCCTATTCCGGAGAGGCCCGAAAAACAAACCCCCCTCCAGAAGCCTAAGCCGATTTTAGGGTTCAGGGTTTAGGGTTTCGGGCTTAGCGTTTAGGATCTGCGGCAACCCTTATACGTAACCCTATTAATCCAAAAGCCTCTTGCAAAACCCTAAAACCCTCAAACAACTACATAACCCTTAAAACCCCAAAACCCTGCACCTCCATAAACCCTAAACCCTGAACCCGAAACCCTAAACCCTAAACCCTCAACCCTCAAGCCCTCACAGCCACACATCCTCAGATCTGGGCCGTGGATGTCCAGGAAACGGGCACACGCTTCGAGCGCATAGCGGCCTTTGAAGCTTCCGGGGCTTGGGGTTCAGGGTTTCGGGTTTAGGGTTTCGGGTTTAGGGTTTAGGGTTTAGGGTTTAGGGTTTAGGGTTTAGGGTTTAGGGTTTAGGGTTTAGGGTTTAGGGTTTAGGGTTCAGGGTTCAGGGTTCAGGGTTTAGGGTTTAGGGTTTAGGGTTTAGGCCTTAGGGCTTAGGGTAGAAGAGGCTCTAAGGCGACATCAATCAGCGAAGTTCCGTAATTTGCAAAACTTCCGGGCTTGGCATTTAGGGTTTAGGGTGTAGGGCTCAGGGCTCAGGGTTCAGGGAGCGGGGTTTGAGGGCTTCGGGTTTGGGGTTTAGGGGTTTCGGCCTCTGGGGCTTGGGGTGCTTTAGGAGGACGCGTCGAAGGGCTGAAGGGTTCCCGGACAACGGATGCAGGTGTGAGGTTAGGGCTTCTCTACTTGGAGGTTCATGGTACTGATTCAGGGTTTAGAGTTTAGGGTTTAGGGTTTGGGGTTTAGGGTTTAGGGTTTAGGGATATCACCCGGTTACGCTGCCCCGAAAACCACTTACAAGTGCCCGAACATGGCCACAACCGGGTTATATGTGCAGTTGTAATTCGGCTAAATAAGCACCAAGCAAGGGTAGTGACATGGTCCCTTAGTATGGGGCCCTGAGGAGGGGACCCTTGCATACCCCTTCTATACCCTTCTCCCCCCTTCCCAAGCCAAGGGCCCATACTTCAGAACCCTTTAAAGGAAGGCAAGGGGCCATCTTAAAAGGGACCGCGTAACTACCCTTAGGGCTTCGGGGCAGCTCAAGCCCTAACCCCAAGAACTGCAAGGGCACTTTGGGCGGTTAAGGGTTTAGGGTTTAGGGTTTAGGGTTTAGGGTTGAGGGCTAAGGGTTTAGGTTTAGGGCTTAGACAAACCCTAAAGGTCGTGTGTTTTGGAAGCGGGTGCGGTGTTGGGTGAAGGGATATGTGTAGAACACAGAAACAGCAGGCCCTAAACCCTGACGCTCTGAACCCTAGACCCGAAAACCCTACACCCGAAGCCCTAAATCCTCAACCCTGGAAACCCTAAACCCTAACCCTAAACCCTAAACCCTAAACCCCAAATCCTAGACCCCAAATCCGCGAGCAAGAGCGCTGGGCGCATCGCGGCAGGCCACTCCCAGGGAGCTCTTGTCTTGGCCTGCGCCCGCTTTGTGGTTGAGGGTTGGGGTTTGGGGGTTTAGGGGTTTAGGGTTTAGGGTTTGGGGATTAGGTTCAGGACCTAGGATTTAGGGTTTAGGGTTTAGGGTCTAGGGTTTAGGGGCTAGGGGTTAGGGGTACGGGGTTGGGGTTCCGGTTTAGCGCTTGGGTTTTGGGTTTGGGGCTTTGGGTCCTGTGCGGTACAAGCGGCGCTTCCGAGAATCATGCAAATCATGCGGAGCTTTCAGGGAAGCATGGGGAAGCCATCAGCAGAATTACTTATGGTTCAGAGCTTGGGTCACTGAGCCCTCAACCCACGTCATATGAAACCCTAAACCCTAAACCCTAAACCCTAAACCCTAAACCCAATGATTGGCCCTCTGATGGTTCTCTATCTCGGGAACCTGGGTCCATAAACTACAAGCCAAGGCGTAGTTCTGTAGTTCTCAAGTAGGGTGATTAACTAGGACCCCAACTAGGATCCCTTGTAGGATACCTATACTTCTGCTTCGTACCTACTTCTGGAGTCCCGCGGTCTTGCAACCCTAAAAACTAAACCCTAAGCCGTAAACCCTATAAGCCCTAAAGACCTTAAGCCCTCAAGGCCCTAAAGGCCCTAAACTCTAAACTCATTTGGGGCTTTCCGAAAGGAGGGGAACCCTTTTTGGGGGTCCATTTAACGGGATTCCATTCTAGGTGGGGTAAAGAAGGCGTACCCCTCTGGGGAAGTACCCATTTGCCAACCCTGATGGCGCACGGCGTTTGGCGTCTTGGCCTTCGGTGGATGCAAGTGTGCACTTGCGGAGCAAAGAAAGTGAGACGGCAAAAGCTGACGACGCCGAGCCCCCGCTAAGCTTCCTTGAGCCCGACACCCCAAAATCTCTGTAAACTTCCCAACCCCACAAAAGCAAAGAGGGATCCCAAACCCTAAACCCTAAACCCTAAACCCTAAACCCTAAACCCTAAACCCTAAACCCTGAACCCTAAGAAGCGCCCAGACCAGCTGTTTCACAGTGGTCGCACGCACAAGGAGGTTCATGGTACTTATTGGCCAATTAAAGCTGTACTTGTAACCCAACTTCTAAGCGCCTTAAGTGCCCTGATGTGGTTGTTAGTACAGTTAGAAACATTAGCCCAAAACCCTAAACCCTGAACCCTAAACCCTGAACCCTAAAGCCTAAACCCTGAACCCTAAACCCTAAACCCTAAACCCTAAACCCTAAACCCTAAACCCTAAACCCTAAACCCTAAACCCTAAACCCTAAACCCTTGAATAATCCAATAAGTACCAAGAACCTCCAAGCAGAGGAGCTGCCCAGGGCCCTGGTTGTTTGAGGCGTAGGACGCTTGGGATTTAGGGCCTAGAAGGGTTTAGGGTTTAGGGTTTAGGGTTTAGGGTTTGGGGTTTAGGGTTTAGGGTTTAGGGTTTAGGGTTTAGGGTTTAGGGTTTAGGGTTTAGGGTTTCCGGGTTTGGGGTTTCGGGTTTGGGGTTCAGGGTTTAGGGTTTAGGGGTAAGGGGTAAGGGGTTAGGGGTTAGGGGTTGGGGGTGAGGGGTTAGGGGTTAGGGGATCACACACACACAGATCCACACAAACCCACACACGCAGGCACGCCCCCACACACACAGACCGCACACACACGCACACGCACGCACACACATGCGCGCCCACGCGCACACACACACACACACACAGACAGAGGAAACCACCATGCACTACTACTGGAAAATTTGAAGATCGCACCCTTTCACCACCGCCTGTTCTTTTGGGATGGTCCTCAACCCCAAACCTCAACCCCCGGCAGCTCTGGTGCTAATGAGTAGAACCAGCTCGGATGGCCGGCATGGAACACGGATCTTGCATTCGGTACCTCAAGCCGCAGCTGCTCCAGGACCTCAGACAACTTGATAAACCCTAAACCCTAAACCAAGAACCCTAAGACCCTAAAACCCTGAAGGAGGGCCAAGGCTCCGGCAAAACCCAAGACCCCCGCCCTGGGAGTGCCAAAAGGAAAGAGAGCCAAAAGAAAGGGTTCCCATTCCGAGCTTAATAAACCCCAAACCCTAAACCCTAAGCCCTAAACCCTAAACCCTAAAACCTAAACCCTAAATCCCAAACCCGGAGCCGGCTTTGGGCGTGCCGCAAGCCACGCGTCTTGCTTGGGTTTGGGGGTGATTGGGACACTACAGCCCCCCCGCCTGAAGCAGGGCTTAGGGTTTAAGGGCTAGGACTTGCTTCATAGGGATGATAATACCCCCTATGATAATCCCTATGAAGGACTGATAGCATCAGGGGGGAACATCCCAAGGTTAGGATTTCGAGTTTAGGGTTGCGGGTTTTGGGTCGAGAGTTTATAGAAATTGGGGCCCCCGCGCGGTTCTCATAGCCAAGATCCGAATCCCAAAACACATAAGCCCATTGCTGAACCCGTAAACCTACCAACCCATAAGCCCTGAAACCCCAAGCCCCCACCATAAACCCTCAAGCCTAAACAATCCTAACCCATAACCCTAAACCCTAACCCTAAACCCTAAACCCTAAAGCCTACACCCACCCACAAACTCTGAAACCCGAAACTCTCATCCCTACCCTAACATCTCCCACCTTGCCACAGGCGCTGGGAAACCTCCAAGGAGCAGGGGGAGGGGGGTGGGTGGAGGGGGGGGCGGGTGGAGGGGGGGGCGGGTGGAGGGGGGGGGGTGGGTGGAGGGGGGGGGGGAGGAGTGGGGGTGTTGGTTTAGTAAACCATTTCGGGTTTAGGGTTTAGGGTTTAGGGTTTAGGGTTTAGGGTTTAGGGTTTAGGGTTTAGGGCTCAGCGTGTCGAGAGGTTTTGAGGAGGATTCTTTTTTGGGGTGGAGGAGGCGGGGCTTCAGGGGTTCAGGCTTCGGTGATTTGGGGCCTGTCGACGTTTTGGAGACTGTGGGGCGCTTAGGGCTTCAGGCTTGCGAGCACGCAGGGTCTTGAGGGTGGTAGGGTTTGCGGTTTCGGTTTAGGGTTTAGGGTTTAAGGTTTAGGGTTTAGGGTTTAGGGTTTAGGGTTTAGGGTTTAGGGTTTAGGGTTTAGGGTTTAGGGTTTAGGGTTTAGGGTTTAGGGTCTGGGGTTTCGGGTTTGGGGTTTCCGACCCTGGCGGCGTGTTGGATGAATTGGGCGTTTTCCGTGGCCACACCCCCCGCCCCCACACCCCCCACATCTTTTCGAGGCTTGGTGCTCGTGCCCGGGCCTGCGCCCTGAACCCCGAAACCCTGAACCCTGGTCTCCTGCACCGTCGGCGGCATGAGCTGGAGGCTCTTAGATTCGGCCGCTCCCCGGACGAAGTTCGGTGGGGCCGAGTCAAGACCACAAGCTCAAACCCCACCCTTGCAAGCCTCACCAGGGCCGTCTTAGCCTTCGGAAGACCCGCTACTAGTAAGCGTCATCAGGGCCGTGATAGCCAGCTTCCTCCCTTCCAGGCGGAGGCCTCGGGCACCGGGGCCTGGGGGTCTGCCAGCAGCACTAGCAGGTCTGGGCCGTCTTGGTGGCTCCAAATCCATGCGAAACAACACGTGTTTGGCATGAAAACCATCGCCATGGATGCTACTCCAAGCCCCGGCCACGCATCATGAGCATCAGCTGGGGGTCCTTGGCGTGATCATGAGCATCCGCTGGGGTCCTCGGCGGCCCCCAACCGCTCCGAAGGGTGTCCAGGCCTGCCTCCATGTAGAGCTTTTTGTTTCGCACCGCAAGCCTTTCCGTGCACCAAAGAGCCCTTTCCGACCAATCCCGCCTCACCCCGCCCCCATCCCCTGAAAAAGCCACGGGACCTGGCGGGCATGCTGAGGGAGAGATGACCACCCTGGAACCCCCCCAAAAAACCCCCCAAACACCTCCCTTCAGACCCGCGCCGGCAAGGGTGTAAGATGTCAGGAAGGGGGGTTAAGGGCTGTAAGGGGTGAAGGGGTGTAAGGGGTGTAAGCAGGGGTGAAATAAGGGGTGTAATATGGGGTGTATTTAGGGGTGTAATTAGGGGTGTAGTGGTGCAATAAGAGAGGCAAAAAGCCTGTAATAAGGGGTGTAATAAGGGGTGATAGGGCGTAAGGGACTGCACCCCCGCACCCTGCCTGGCCCTTGGGCAGCTGATTCGCCGCTAAGCGTCTTCGATTTAGGGTTTAGGGGTAGTGATACTCCAATCAGTCAGGCACTGCACTCAAGTGCGCAAGCAGCATTTTTTAACCACCTGCACTGTTGGCCACCTGCACTGGTCGCAGGACTACACCGTGACTTGCTCCAACCACTCGTGGCGGGACTTGGTAGCCCAGGAACCATATGATAAGCAGGGCACCCCTTTTGGGGCTGGTTGCTTTATAAGGGAACCTTGAACCAAAAAAGAGAAAAGGAGGGTACCACTGGGCTACCAAGGGGAACGCCCTGGCACTGCCATGGCAAAGAGAAGGCCAAGTCTATGACCATGAGTCGAACAATCCTCCTAATAATCCAGCAAGCTAAAGATAGACAACACGTCTGTCACCTCAGCGCGACAGATCGGGCAATGAGTCAAGCCTTCGAGGCAGCGCTCATGAAAGGAGTGGTTGCAGCTGAGCTTGCAGGCTGTACTCAGCTCAGTCTGCTCAAGGCACACGGCGCACTCACCACAGAATGTGGGAAGATTGTGGCTCCCGACCACGAGGCCCTGCAACGACAGCACATGCCCGGCCAAAGAGTGGAAGAATGAGCTCACGATGTCCTGAAAGACCTCCCACAAGCCAACCGCTCTAGCCTTTATCTTCGCTTCTTGGCAGTCGATGAAGGAGCGTCGCTTGCGCAGGCACTGCTCCCGGCACTCTGGGTACGCGGCGCGCCCTCTGATCTGGTTGTTGGTGAGAACAACTTGGTTAAACCGGCCGACGAGATCTATAATTTGCTTGTCCTCACCCATCCACTCCTCGAGGTCCTTGTCCTCTTCCCCGAGCTCCCCTTGCCAGTGCGTCAGGAGCAATAAGCCGTTGGACTTGACACCCTCCGCGTGAAAGAGGTGCTCGAGCAGGCGCATGTTTGCCCGAGTCCCCTGGCTTACTCGGCCCATCTTCATCACCACCACAACGGCATGAACCCCCAAGGAGGTGTCACGGATGAACTTCCGGATGTTGTCCAAGATGTCAGGAGTCTGGAGATCTGGATCTCCAACGCCTACCGTGTCCACATGCAACCAACCTGTCCTGATGTTCAGATGCATGGCAGAAGCCTTCGTGACGGAACTGGCAGTGGCCCCTGTCTGGCAGGGCTGCTGACAGCAGGACACGCTGGAATCCTGATTGTAGAGCATGTTCACAATGGTCGACTTACCCGTTCCGGTCTCACCAACGACCAAAATGACCCGGTTGATTCTGTCATCCTTCATGGCTGCGTCATTCCTGCGGAGTCTCTCCATGGCAAGGGTGCAGCAGGCTGCAGCAGCGCTGGGTTGGATGGCACAATGCTGGCTCCGGAGATCTGAAACCCTGCGGCTGCAGTTGCTTCTGGACTTCATGCAACCCCCAACAGCCCCCTGGTAAATCCTAGAAATCCCAAATTTGCCTCCATTAAGCCCCCAACGTCCTGTTCACGGAAGCCGCCATCGCAAACACCTAAACCCTAAACCCTAAACCCTAAACCCTCATGGGCATGCCCGGGCCCCCGGAACCTCAGCCTAGGATGCCAACCCCTAAACCCCAAACCCTAGCGGGGCCTGAGCGCTCCTTCATGAGGACTTCCACCATCGCCCCAGGCGCCGGAAGTTGGCATCAATGTGGGAGTCCTGCTTGGAGGTTCATGGGCCTGGGTACTTATAACCACCCTAAACCCTAAAACCCTAACCCTAAACCCTAAACCCTAAAACCCTTAACCCTAAACCCATGTTGCGGCGGATAATAAGGGAACCTCTTAGGATAAACTCCGGGGTTCGAGTCTGACAATCCTTCAGAAGCCACAGAACGCCTGAGGCGACCCTCGGTTTTTCAGCAACCTTCATAAATCAAATTCCTAAGGCTTAGGGTTTAGGGTTTAGGGTTTAGGGTTACCGGGTTCCGGGTTCCGGGTTTAGGGTTTAGGGTTTAGGGTTTAGGGTTTAGGGTTTAGGGTTTAGGGTTTAGGGTTTAGGGTTTAGGGTTCAGGGGTTAGGGGTTAGGGGTTAGGGGCTAAGGTTTAGGGTTTAGGGTTTAGGGTTTAGGGTTTAGGGTTTAGGGTTTAGGGTTTAGGGTTTAGGGTTTAGGGTTTAGGGTTTAGGGTGTAGGGTTTAGGGTTTAGGGTTTAGGGTTTAGGGTTTAGGGTTTAGGCGACTGTAGGATGGAGCTGGTGGTGGTGGTGGTGGTCGTGGTGAGGAAGACGAAGATGAGCCCCAACCTCAACCCTAAACCTTTTGCTGGCCTAAGGGGTGCATGCAATGGTATGCAAAGCGCAGCCATGCCCTGCAATCTTGGCAAACCACCAGAAGCCTATAGACGCCATGGACCCCTAGGACGACCTATGTCGTAGATTCTTGGAGGTTTCAGGAAGCTCAGTGACTGCAGCATTATATATGTATATATACATATATATACATATATATATATATGTAAATATATATATATATGTATATATATATGTATATATATATATATATATGTATATATATGTATATATATGTATGCATATATATATACACACCCCGAGTTCCGAGAAGCAACTCGATACACAATCCATCAAGCATCAGCCCCCCCAAGGCATTAAACTTTCCAAGCCGCTTAATCCCTTGGAACCCTCTGAGAAGCAAACGCAAACTTCGCACGACGTGAAGGACGTCTTGGAACCCACTTGCACGCATCATTGCTACGGTCCCACACTGATATAGAAACAACTAAGCCTACTGATTACCAGGGATCCTCAAAAGATTGAAGTGCTCGGAAGTATAAGATCGAAAACACTTCTGCAGGAATGTCTAGCAGCAATGTTTCCCGAAACCCAAGCCCCGAAACCCTAACCTAAACCGCACCAGATGCTATACTGAACTTGAAATCTATAATGCTGGCTGCTTCTTTTGAAATAAAGTACCCAAAACATACGAAATACTTCCAGATACCCCTAACAAGTCTAAGTATAACTCTACTTATAAGCCCCCTAAGCCCCCTAAGTAGGTTCTAAGTAGACTTATAACTTGTAACTGAGGTTCTAAGTACCCATGAACCTCCAAGTGGATTTGGTTTAGAAGGGTTTCAGGGGCTTCAGGGCTGAGGGGTTTAAGGGTTTAGGGGCTTTAGGGGCTTAAGGGTGTAGTTAGGGGTTTCGGGGTTTTAGGGGTTGAGGGTTTAGGGGCTTTAGGGCTTCAAGGGTTTTAGGGTTTCAGGGGTTTAAGGGCTTAAGGGGCTTCAGGATTTAAGGGTTCCAGGGTTTAAAGGCTCCCAGCTGGAGACTTTGGCCATTTTGGGGCTTTTGAGCGGGAGTGTGGGGCTTCACACGACGACTGCAGACAGCAAAGCGCCTTTGCGGGTTTAGGGTTTGGTGCAGGGTTTAGGGTTCGGTGTTTGGGGGTTTGGGGTGAACCCCACAAAGCTGTTTTTCACGGCCGCATGCACTGCACGGCTGCGTCGGAGTGAAAGGTCTTCACAGCGACTTTGGCCGCAAAGTTGCGCACAAAGGCAACCTAAACGATGTTCGACTCGTGCCGGTGGAGGGTGCTAATCCAGGGTCAAAGAGTTTCGGGTTCAGGGCCCCTAAACCCTAAACCCTAAACTCTAAACCCTAAACCCTAAACCCCACACCCTCGACCCTAAGGCTGTCAGCCGAGGGCCGCTATGAGGCACTGCTCTTCATCACGCAGAGATGGCCATCACCGGCCTGCGTTTAGAGAACGTTCGGGGTTTAGGGTTTAGGGTTTAGGGTTTTGGGTTTTGGGTTTAGGGTTTAAGTTTAGGTTTTAGGGTTTAGGGCTTAGTTTAGCGTTCAGGTTAGTACTAGCACTACGGCGAGGATCAGGGAACCTAGCACGAGGATATCCCAGGAAGGGTCGGCCTCGTAGGGTACTTGTGACTCTTTGTAACCAATCCTCCTTAGGGTTTAGGTTTAGGTTTTAGGGTTTAGGGTTTAGCGTTTCGGGTTTAGGGTTTAGGGATTAGGGTTTAGGGTTTAGGGTTTAGGGTTGAGGGTTTAGGGTTGAGGGTTGAGGGTTTAGGGTCTCGCAAGTAGCGACAGCCGGGCCACCTCCTCCAGCCATCCAACACAAACCCCCAAAAAAAAACCGAACCTCCAAACGGCAGAGAGCGCAACCCTAAACCAAACCTACTGGTTGTGAGTAGGGAATGAGGGAATTAGTGCTACTTTCCCGACAATAAATATATACATGTATATTTTTTACATATATATATATATATATCATATTTCATATATATGACATAAGAAATTGAAACACATAACCCTAGCCCCCAGAGAAAACAAATTTAAAAAAACGAATGTCGAAAACCCTTGAATACCGTATGCCCCAAAGCCCTAAACTGAGAAAAAAGATTGGGTTCAGGGCTCAGGGTTTAGGGTTTAGGGTTTGAGGTTTAGGGTTTAAGGTTTAGGGTTTAGGGTTTAGAGTTTAGGGTTTACGGTTTAGGGTTTAGGGTTTAGGGTTTAGGGTTTAGGGTTTAGGGTTTAGGGTTTAGGGTTTAGGGTTTAGGGTTTAGGGTTTAGGGTTTAGGGGTTAGGGTTTGGGCTTCGGAAGCCTTGGCGCGAGCTACGAGTTCGCCGTCTTGGGCGAGAAAGAGGCGGAGGGCGCGCTGCCCTCGGCACGCGAATCTTGGACTTAAAGTACAGGGGGTGTAGGGTTTAGGGTTTTACGGTTTAGGGGTTAGGGATTAGGCTTTAAGGTTTAGGGCTCAGGGTTTAGGGTTGAAGGTGATATGCAGAAGCCTTTTGCACCTGAAGCTTTTTCAGGATCCCGATGTGGTCTAAGGTACGTTCCATAGTCAAAGGGGCACCCTAGACTTTCCAGCATTTAGCGTTTAGGGTTTGGGGTTTAGGTTTTAGGGTTTTTTAGGGTCTGATATTCTGCCCCCAAACAAGCTGCGAAGTCCCATAAGTCAATTGGGCGGCTTCGGGCTTTTGTAGGCTGGGTTGCTGTCAAGGAAACTAAATGAAATTGCCCAAAACAAACCACACAAATGCAAACAGTATATATATATATGTATATGTATATATGTGTTTATATACGGATGTTGTTCGAAACTATTGTGCCAAGCCTGAGGCCGTAGGTTTCCCTCGCGCCTCGCCCTTTCGCCACCTTGCGCCGTGCTAGTGCTTGGCCATCCCCGCAAAACTTGGTACTCACACAAGGCATTGGCCATCGCCTTTGCACTAGTTGCGCCCCTTTGCGCCCCTTTGCGCCCCTTTGCGCCCCTTTGCGCCCCTTTGCGCCCCTTTGCGCCCCTTTGCGCCCCTTTGCGCCCCTTTGCGCCCCTTTGCGCCCCTTTGCGCCCCTTTGCGCCCCTTTGCGCCCCTTTGCGCCCCTTTGCGCCATGCAGTTTTTGGGCGACATGGTAAATTGCAGGCAACATATGTATGGCCGCCCTACTCTACTGTCAAGAGGCGGGGGTTTAGAACAACATACATACATACATACATACATACATACATACATACATACATACATACATACATACATACATACATACATACATACATACATACATACATACATATATATATATATACATATATGTTCATATACATACATATGTATATATATACACGAATACACCTATACATACATATATATATATATATATGTAATTATTTATTTATTTGTTTTTATTATTCATATTTTCGATAACTATGTTCATATACATATATATATATATATCATTAGTTATTTATCTCTTTATTTATTCATATTTACTTGGTCATTCTTTTATATTTATTTGTTGTTCTTTATATGTATATGTATGGTTCCACGTATATACATATATATGTAGTTTTATTATATTTATCGGTACATTTACCGTTCATGTTTATGTTCTTATTTATCGAAATATTCACATTTATGGTATTTTTGTAATTAGAAACTTATATCTACTTTGTGTATCTATATTTCTATATATATATGTATATACGTATGCCAATCTAGGGTGACTTGGTTCATGGAAAAAACTCAAAAACTAAACCCTGAACCGGCGCAGACTTCAGCAAGTGAGGGGCTTGGGACGCAACAAGGCTCAAGGCAAGAAGCCGCGTCGTCCATCTGCTTCATGGCAGCGAAGAAGAGCTCTGCCTATCAGTCGGGCCCCGACCCCAAGAAAAAACAATAATAATAATCATGTAATAATAATCATCATCATATAATAATAATAATAAATAATATAAATATAAATATAAATATAAATATAAATATAAATATAAATATAAATA